ACAGGTACTGTTGGGCAATTACGCACCAGGAGAGAGGTTAAATATAATGTTCATATCAAACACTCAATGAGAGCCGACAGCTTGAAGCGGTCTTGCTGCCAGGCAAATGGCCTGCATCAAGGCATGAAAACTGCAGAATCTGCTTTCAGAAACTCAGCGTTTAATCTTAAAAGTACCTGGCGCTGTTATTTAGAAAGATCGGCAAGTAGGAAGGAAACAGCGCGCTTTGCTTGACAGGTGAATAAATGAGGGATGGCAATTTTCTCTAGGACGGGACAGGGGAAGTGAAGGGGGACTTTGCTCAGACCTGGGAAGACTATTTCTCTGAGGCATGCTTAAGGACTTAAGGTAGGAAAACCTGGGAGTATTTTATTGCAGCATAACAACCTGCTCAGGCACATGAATGATTGGAAGGATATTGTAAAAGGCAAATCATCCTACACTGCCCCCTTGTGCCCTATAATTTAATCCCTCGCACCCCCTCCCCCCAAGAAATTCTGCTTAGCATAGAAATTCATGCAACGTAATCTAAATCAGACTCCTCCACTGAGGGTATGATAAATTCTGGAATGAGCTACTCTTCAGGTCTGGTGTCTGTGCAATTTATGTTGTGACTTGCTTTCTTTTGAATGCCCTCACAAAGATCTGTGTGAATTACTGAGAAGGGGAGATCTCCATGCACCTATCATGTAATACGGTAGGAGCCCGACAAGGAAGCCTTCCAATTATCTCAATGTTTCCTCTGTGGCACAGCAAATGGTTTGGGGTTTTTTCTTGGTTTTTTCTTCATTTTTTTAAAGCAAAGAGATAAAACTAGAATCTGAACACACCAGAAGCTAAAAGCACTGAAGCCAACTTCAGATATTGCTGATTGTCCATTCTCCAGATTGTTTTGTTTTTGTTCTTCCAATCAGCAAATTCTTAGACAATGCATAACGACAAAGTATTGACGGTTACTGCCCAGAAGGTCACTGAGTAGCCATGTGACACCGGTGCCCCCTGGACACCATTCTCGGTTGCCCCGGGAAATACCCTATGCCTCCCAATTTTTAATTTTTGTTTTAAATAACAAAGTTTCTTACTGGCAGTTGAAACCAGCTCGGAGTAAAGCTAGTGTCTTTAGCCTTGCCCAGAGCCTTTTTCCATGAATGTCTCAGGCCACAAATGGGCTTCAGAGACAATGTCAGTCACCCACTCTTAATTTCCCAGATGCAACCATGGGCCCCAAACCCTAGCCCTGTCGGGTAGGATCGGCTCCCCCTTTCTCCTGACAGATGCATGACAAAATCCACCAAAGGCACAAAACCCCAGAAGGTGCAGGATGCTCCACCATCTGTGTGGAGAAGCAAGAGAAAGCTCGGCCTTTGGAATTCCTGCATCTGGGGCTGGCATGAAAGGCTCAAATCCTTTATTGGGAAATAGCTTATCTTTAGCCGGCAAGCCGATGGGACAGCCAATTTTAGTTCTCAAGTTTTGGTAGAGGGCCTGGCAACTCTTAACATGCCCAGGAACAAATAATGTACAGACAGCATCCCTCAGTCCTATGCCTATCACCTTCCAGGAAGGATGATTGTCCGAAATTGTAGAGACCAGCAGTATAGCAGCAGTCCTGACTAAGCACTAACCCAATTAAACCGGAATCCCTCTAAGTCTAGAGAGGAAGAGGCATGTCGTGAGCAGGAGAAGAGAGCCAAGGAGCAAAAGAGATGCTCAGGACTGAAATATGCCCCTCCCAGCTCCCCTTCCCAGTCAGAACGGAAAGGGCGGGACACTGAAGAGCAGCCTTGAAGGGCTTGGAAAGAATAGGGGGCCCGCCTAGGCCGTTTCCCCTCTAGGCTTCCCTGTGCCTATTTGACAAATGCGTTCAGAGCGGGATCAGGCCGTTCTGCCTCGGTCTCCTGCAAGACTGGCAAGCAAGGGGTGCAACTGCCATGGTTTTACTAGCAATTCAGCAATCGCAGGTATGCTGACTTTAATGGGGGTGGGGATTTAGTTTGCCGCCTCTTATATGCATTGATAGTTGCCTCCTCTCTTGAAAATGCCACAGCCAAATATTGCCAAGGGCATCCAAAGTTAAGGCACAGTGATAAATCCTTCCTCAGCGGTCACAGGACCTGTGCAGGTTAAACTACGAAACACAAATAACAGAGCGATAATGACCATAAAAGTTTCAATTTATCCAGTTTAGGTAATGCAGCCAATCAGTTCAGCTCTGGCGTGCATAGCAATTAGGAACAAGAGAGTCATTGGATAATTTATGCATGGAATACTTATCTGAGAGATAACACAAAGCTACTTTTTAATTTGGATGCCCCTGTAAAACAGGCCAGAGAGTACAAATTATATGATGGACCTTCACCTTGATTAAAAGGTAAATGTGATGACACCAGTATCAACCCTTCACCGAGTGTTTAGGCAACAGATCTTTTGATATAGCGAAGATGGACGATCTAGGTATTGTGTAGGTATCTGCTCTCATGACTGCTTTTGAAAATGGCCTCCACCTAATAGCATCTCTCGTAATAGCGTACGCACTCCATCACCTTAGTAGATGTAAAGGCATCGGCAAATGTTCTTACCTTTGCCCCATTCTTTAAATGGAACTGAAGACAAGCCTTGCTCTTTATGTGCAATTTCTGCTCTGTATTAATGGAGAAACACATTTCCTCTCTTTAAACACTTCCCTGTAGCCGAAGAGCCAACCTTTTAACTCTCCAGAAAACCATGCAAATCCATTAGTTCAACGGCTAAATATGCTCATTTGGTGCATTTACTCAAACCCCTCAGTTACAGAGGCTTATCCAAAGGTTTACGACACATCAGTCTTACCGAGTGAGTTTGTCACAACAAAAACAAATGGTTTTGCGGCACCTTTAAGACAAACATGTTTATTACAAAAAGCTTTCATAAGCTGTACTTCACCTCATGAAGTGCATGAATTGTTTCTCCTAGTAAGAAGGCATTCAAGGGTGAAGAGAAATAAACATTGGGAACAGTGAGGTCATATTGCAAGAAAATGCAGAAGAAAGCAATCTATTATTAGTCAGTTAGTGCTCTGATAGAGGCAAAATGAGCTTCTCCTACCCACCCCCACCCCATAAGTCATGTCCACTACCACAATATCTCAAGAAAAAAAAATGGGCCAGTTGTCTCTTAAAATGACAATCACTGTGGAAACAAGACAGAACAGAATCCCAAGTTGATATATGTAAAATTGCCATAGGCCGGAAGGACTCTGATGCCATCATCTCTAACCAATGAGCAGAGACCCTCAGATATCAGACCCTGAAACAAAAACGAGTCTGTCTATCTCTTGCTGGTCCTTTAAGTCTAAGAGGACGAGTTATAAGATCGTAAGAGCATAACAAGAGTCCTGGTGGATCAAACCAAAGACTCATCTAGCCAGGTGGAACCTTATGGAATGTCCAAAAGCAGAGCATGAAAGAAATGCTACTCATTCTCCAACACTGATTATGCCAGTGGAGTGGCAAAAAGAGGAAAGCACAAAGTGGAAGAAGTAGTAATTGAAATATGCCACAGTGAAGACACATTGTACGCACGGACACTTCTGTTCCATCAAAATTAGTACATACAAATCAGATTTATTGTATACTGATCTCTAGAGGCTCAGCTGAACTACAGGAGATTTGGAATGCATTTCATCATGTATTATTGTTCAGCTGGGTTATCATCCATCTTTCTACACAAGGATTCAAGAACCAACAGCGCAAACCCAATAGAGATTCTATTCAGAAACAAGGCCTGGTAAGTTCACGGGACTTATTCCCAAGTGAGTGAGTGACTTCAGCAGCCAGAAAAGCTCAGTTAAAAACAGACAAGTAAATAGGAGAGGCATTTAGCCCAGAAACAAGCAGGTAAGCCAGGAAGCCTTGTATACCAAAGAGGTGTTCTGTCACTAATACAAAACACAAATCTTGCTCAACCAAGAATTAAGCAGTCTCAGTCTGGAGAAGAGGAGACTCTGAGGGGAATCTGTTGGCAACATATAGGTATGTGAGGGGGTGTCACACAGAGGTGGGTAGAGACCTGTTCTCCCCTGCAGAGGAAGGCAGGACACTCTCCAACGGAGCAAAGTTCAGGGAACCAAGGTTCAATTAGGATGCCAGGAAGTACTTCCTGATGGTTAGGACCCCGAGGGTATGGAATGGGCTTCCACGGGAGGTGGTTGAGGCCCCATCGGTGCGGGTGTTTAAGGACAGGCTGGACATGCACATGGTGGGCATGTTGTGAGCGGAGCCGGCTGGAGCTGGGGGCCAGACTAGATGGCCCGGGAGGCCCCTTCTGACCCGCTCTGTTTCTATGTTTCTAAGAAGGTTTCAGTGATACATGTTTCTTATTGCATTTGTATGAAAGCTTTTTAATTTTTAATAAAAAATGTCAATCACATTTGGAATGCTTTTACCATACTATTGCTTACAGTGAGGGGCAGCATCCCCACATCTTGGAACAGGAAGCAAATGATGCGAACAGAAAAGACACAGCTGGATTCTTTCCTTTCATTTACTTATTTACTTACAGATGCTACATACTGCTCCATATCTAGGCACATTCCAGAGTGGTGAACAGCAAAAAGCTTAAACAGATGAAACTATGTTTTAAAACCCCATCTATTAAGAGCAAGGTAGCATTAAAACTGTGGCTGGTCAGCAAAAAGCCCTTGCCAGAATAAGGATGCCTTCTGTAGGCATCAAAAAAAGCAGTGTTCCATTACAGCTGACCTCCAGAGGCACTAGAGGTTCTTTTCCTGGCCGCATCCAGGTGGGCCATGGGTCCACAGGGAACCCCCAGAAGGCTGCCCTCCAAGTGACTGCCCTCCTCAGTGACTGGGCTTGTTGGTTGGGGAGAAGGCAATTTCTCATGAGCTAATACTCTAATGATCATGCTTCAACCTCTCGGAATCCAAGCTGATTTCACATTAATTCATCAGAGACATTTAAGCAATACAGTGATTAAACACTTATCCAAAATATTTTACATACCTGGCCCTCTACTATCCAATTAGAGATAGATGTTTTTCCATCATACCCAGGTCGGAACTGAAGCGTGGCGGAGCGAGGGCTGATGTTAGAGATTACTAAATTGGATGGTGCACCAGGAAGCTCTGTATAGGCCAACAAGCCAAGTAAAACAGAAAGAGGGAGGGAGGGGTAGAAAATACAGAGTTGGGCTGTAAAAGTCAGTATTTCAAAGGCTTGTGCATTTTTTCAGGAACAGATCTGTACAGAAAAACAAGACGATGAGAAGAGCTCCACAATTGCACCAAAGGCCCACTTGCTGCTTCTAGAAAGCCCAAAAGCAGCATGTGATGTTAGAAGCCTCCTCTCTCAGCTGCTCCTCAGCAACTGGGACTCTTAACACATGCTGCTTCTCAACTGGAGACAGCAAATTGGACCTGGAGATTATACCAAGGGTTCTGGAAGCAAAACGATTTCTTATGGGTACTGAAAGACATGTGCCATCTTCAAAGGCTGTATACGTATGAACAAACTGGCTAATGTTTCAAAACAGGTTATTCTTGGATTGCCAGTAAAAGCAAACAACTGCAGCTTCAATTGTAAAAGCCAATAATTAATGCACAGAGGCAAAATACTGTTCCTTATAGGTGGAGAGCAAGGCAGAGAAGGGTCACCTGGGTGAGTGAGCAGGACCGAATGGAGGGTATGGGTTGGATAGACCAGCCAACTCTTTCCACCTCTCTGACCTCTCAGCCTTGCCTGCCCCCAAGACCCCTGTCCATATATTGGCTACCATCTTCAAATGGTAGGAGAGTGGACAGGAAGGAGTTAAGAGACCTGTGCCAAGCCAGCCTCTGCTCCCAGTCCTCCTTGTCCTGATCCAGTTTGTTGGAGTCCAGATTTCTAGCCTCCCGAGTAACCTGCATTGATGTCGGTCCAGAGCTGGCTGCATTCTGTGAGTCCAACTAGACTGTTTTACCAGAATGCAAACCTGTTGTAAATTGTCCCGAGACGCCAGTAAAGGGACGGTCTATAAAAGCTATAAATAAATAAATATTCATTCTGCCAGTAAAATCAAATGCCCCAGTACCACATAGGCAGACAACTTGCCTCCAAATCTTCTGTCAATCAGAACTACCCTATTGAGCACTGCCACATCTAAGTTTTTCATGTTGTCTCTAGCTCTTTTGATCCGGAAGAGTTTTAAAGACAGATGGAGAACACGAGAGAGAGAGAGAGAGAGAGAGAGAGAGAGAGAGAGAGCGCAAACTGACTATAAACAACCCCCTAATATTGCTTGGGTTGCTCCTAGTACTGTTTTACTAACCTGGCGGAACTCCTGATGAAATCGTAGACGAAGTGACCAAGCCGGTCCCCTTTGCTGTCATTGCAGCTACCTCTATTGTGTAGGTGGTGAGAGATGACAAGCCTGTAATTTTGTACTCAAGGGTTGTATTAGCTAGTGTGTGCGCGAGACGTGATTCGTTCCTGCTATACACCTCCCAAGAGATCTGGTAACCTGGAGAGAGAAAAATGAGAAAAGGACAAAGAGAGCAAGCACATGTTATCAGTGGTGCCTTCTGCAGATGCTCCCTGTGCAGGCTCCAAACACCATTCAAAGAATGGCTCGTCAGCTCCCCCATGTTTGTTTCCCTTGGAGAGAAAGCCTCTTTCCTGAAAGCCAGTGTCTGTCCAGCAATCTGAGGCAAGCGGCCTCAAAGCAAAGGGTCCCACCTCAAGAGGAAAGCGGGTCCTCCAGGATTCCAGCTGGCCATGGAGGGTGACTGCAAGCGGGGCTTTGGGCAGGAAAACCCTACAGCGCTTGAAGCTTTGTTTACAATCCGATGGCTGCTGAGCCTGGTGCCCACTCCCCCGCTTCAAAGACACCGCAAGCATCAGGAAACCCTCCCTCTTCCCCCCTTCCACTTCCCCCATCAATAGCTATTCAAGTACCCAATTAAGTTCACATGCATCTGTTGCCAATTTCTACATCCGAATGTCATTTCTCCCTGCTCAAAACCTGAATACAAAGTTAGTTTGCCCACCTGCAGGCATGCATAAAACCCAGGACTCTTCCCCTTCAGTCATTTGGCTCATAGCTGTCCAGCACCGTCACCTGATACCAGCAGCCTCATTTCCGGAAGATCATGCCAAGCGTCTTGTCAACTCTTCACCCTCTCCGATCTTATGCAAGCATACTAGGAAGGCATGCCCTTGCACGATCCTGCCGTTCCCTGGCTCTAAACACCACTAGAGGTGAGGTGGACAATGACCAGGAGAAGGTCTTCCTTGCGCCACCCTGGTTTTGGAGCTCTCTCCCCAGGCAGTTTACTTGGCACCAACATGGCTGTCCTTCCAGTGCCCGAGGAAGGCCTTTTTATGTTCTCGTGCTATTTTAACTCTAGGGGCCTGGTCTGGTCAAGGCACTTTGCTTTAGATTCGAGGATACTTAGGATGAAACAAAACCATCTGTGTCAAAGATGATATACAGTTTATTGAATACAGAGATGAGATATGGAAGCAGAATATAAAGAGGCGAAAGAAAGCTTACACTCCCTTTGCTGCAGCTCTCTTGGTTCTTTGAATAGGCCGGGGAATGTTCTGTCAATCCCCAAAGGGATCTGTGTGAGTGATGCATCAACGCTTCTCCCCAGGACTGATCAAAAGACAATGCCTCTTGCCATGCGTTGTTTTAATGCTCCCCATTCCTGGGAGGAAAAGCTGCTGCAGTAAGGCAAGCTATTTAGTTCCCACGGCATAAGCAGCCCTTGTCAACTGAAGGTCCCGAGAAGCCAGTTTCAGGATAACCATCTCTGGCCTAACAAGCTGCAGCCATAAGGCTCTGCCATGACTCCAAAAGGCTTTTGGACACTGGGAAAGCTTGCTACTCTACCTAAATCGCTTCCTCGCCCTTCTTCTGGTGCAACCCATCCAGTACGCAGGCCTTGTCGATTTGTCACTGTGGTTGTTCTGTTGCTGTTCTGTTTCATTATAGAATGGTTGGCTTTTACCTTACTGCTTCATGATGCTTATTAAAGCTGATTGGGAACTCCTTATTGAAACGTAAGATGTCCATATGTAAACAAACAGCATTGTTTCTTCTTTTTTGTATCTAGTGACCCTCCCAATTTCCTTTGCACCATTGTCTCTTGAATTAGTCTCCCAGTCTATGCATGTCTTTGTATCATGCGCTGCCATCACTTCTTCACACTGAGTTGCTCTGCAAATCCTCTCCAATATTTTTTCATTCGTTTCCCCATCCTATCCAACTCACAGGACAGCCACGGTTGTTGTGACAGAATCCTGGGATAGCAGCTCATTTCCCACAGAAGCCCTGTTTTGACAATGTCAGCTCTCAACCTCAATTCACTCCTGAACAGGTTGCAGCAGTGGGAAATGTCTGCTTACCCGTCTCCATAGCAGAGTATACAAATTTCTTAATTATACATATGACCCAAACGACTGCTGTACAACATATTCACAGACACTGGAAAAGCTGCAGGGATGCTTCTGATTCACTCTATCAGTTCGATTTCCTATCATCCAAGGCAATGGGAAATAAACCCACCTGCAAAAATGTATGGACCTCCAAGACATAAAGATTGGAATTAAAATAAAGTGAAGACATTCTGTTAAAAATGCATTACATTGATGGAAAACTGATATGCCAAGGAAAAATATTCATGTGCGCATATATAGGAAATATTTCTGCTAGGCAGAAGCTTCTGTCCCCAGTGAAACGGAGAAAACAGTTACAAATGAGCTGCTAATCAACCCAGGGGAACATGCTGGGAATTTTGAGAAAGGGGTGGGGGGATTGCTCTGTGCTCCAGCTGCCCTTGCATAGACTTGAAAGCAAGGTGAATCATTTTATCTTGTCTTTTCAAACCTTGTGCGGCAAATCCATTGTCCTTATCCATACAGCGTCTGACCCTCCACCTCACTTTTCTGTGTGAGAGACTACCTGTTCTGCTCTTCATGCCTTTGCTCTTTATCATTCTGCCTGCCTTCCATGAACTCCCTCCGAATTTCTAAAACCCGGTTTTCTCAATTTGCCTCTGATTTTGCCGGTGCTCTCCTCCCCCTCCTCTGAACTCCTGGTGACCGTTTCATTTACTCTGGAGCACATTTGTGGACCTTTCTTGTGGAAGCATCCAGAGACTTGGTTGGAAAAGGTGGCTTAATTACAACTTCCCTCGTGATTAAGAATAAGGCAAGAAAGTGCTCTTGATGTTAGATTTGGAAAAGGGCAACCAGAATGATCAAGGTGTTAAAACTCCCCTAGGAGGAAAGGTTATAACATTGGGGGCTTTTTAGCTTAGACAAAAGGGAAGGCAGGATGGAGGTTTGTAAAAGTAGGCAAGTGTGGAAAAAGTGGATGTGGAAAAGTTTTCTGTTCTTCTCAAAATGCTGGACGGAGCCTGGGGTTACCCAATGAAGCTGAATGGAGGAGATTCGTGACAGATAGAAGGGCCGGCTTCTGCATGCAGTGAACGGTCTGGCCATGGAATTTACTTCCACATGCAGTGAAAGTGCCAGCTTTGATGGCTTTAAAGGGTGATTGGACAAATTCATGAGGAGAAGGCTACTAGTCAGGATGACTGTATTTCACCCATACATGCCTGTTGCTGGGAAACAGCAGAGAGAGTGTGACTGCCATCAGATCCTTCTGCGGGGCTTCCACAGACATCTGGCCGGCCATTGCTGGAAACCGATCAGTTGGACGAGAGCAGATGGCTTCCCATTTGTGCGCATGGAACACTCGCGCAAGGAAATAGCCAGGCTCCCGTATCAAAGCACCGACATCATGTAGACATGTGGATCCATGATGGGTCAGATTGAAAGATCAGAGCAATTCTCCTCCTCATGCGATGGACCAAATCCCTTATCAGGCAGGGGTTGCTTGTCCAAGAGGAGTTCTCAGATGTGACTAACTGAAAAGCTATTGGGAAGACATCCACGTCAACGTTTTTATGGCATTTCTGGCAGAAGGCGATGTTTTGGTGAATGGTTTTCGCTCACCTTTCTAAGCTTCCTCAGGAGGCAGGGAATCCCAACCCAGTCTCGACTTTTACTGACACAATCACATTTCATCATGTCGCTACATCCTAGTGTTTCTGAGAACGGGCTCTGCAGAAGCATCCGCACCCACCAAAACTATACCAAATATTCTACTGCTAAAAAGAGATGGCCCCCCCACCCCCAAACACACACACACACACACACACTCACTCTAAACCAAGCGCTGAAGCTGATGGCTCCAGTGTAAGCGGAGTGGTGTATCCAACCCGGGGTTCAGCCTAAGCTTTAAAGGAGAGGAGCGATCCATGGTGCTGACTGAACCTGCAACTAGATACAGCGCCATGATACAGTCTCTACAAGTTCAGATGAAAACCCGCTGACGGTGGAGCCACCAACCTTCACTAAAAACCACCGAAGAACAAAATATAGATAGTTTATCCCATTTTATCCACACAACCAGCAACCTGTGAGGTAGGTCAGGTGGACAGACTGACCCAAAGTCACCCAGTGAGCTTCCTGGCTGAATGGGGACTAGAACCCACATCTCCTGGATCCCCAGACGAACACTAAAACCACTGCTCGACACTGGCTTTCAGTACGGGCCCCCAAAATGCCCTCGAGTCTGAGCTAGGAGGCAGCCAGGAAGAAACCTGGGACATACCACACGTCTAAAAAATAGTCCCTAGCTTCAAAGGCACTGAGTATGCCAGGTAAGTACTTAGAATAATCAAGCAGACAGAAAAGGGTGGGTTCAATCTGACTCCAACTGAGGCCAGCAGGAGCAGCATTCCTTACGCTCTGCATTAGCACCTTCTCCATAAGCTGCAACCTAACTGAAACTAATGACCAGGAGAGTTTCAAAAATAATTTTCTGTTGATCTGGAGTAAATTCTGTATGAGAAAGCAGTACATCCAATCACAAACTGTCCGTCTGCATCCAAGCCCTCATAAATCAGAGTTTACCAAGGGAGAGAGGAAGATACTGAAATTTACAATGAGAGCAATGGGCAATTTACCAAAGCGGGCCTGTTCCCTCCTAAAGCCCCTTGCGCTCTCCTCTCCTTCCATGCGCTAGAATTAAAAACCAAGTCACAGTAAATGACACCCATGCGCCCAAGTGATGCAGCAGCAGGGGCCTCCTAAGCGCTCTTACCTTTCCAAGCAGCGTTGTATCAGCCTCTGAACCATTAGAGGGAAATGAATGATTTTGCCGCCTCCCATCTTCCAACCTTAAAGGTGATGCCCCCTGTTGCAGGGGAACTTTTTCTTCCTTACAAAGCTTGCCCGGCATGTCTTCACCCTTGCACTTCCCACGCATGAAAAGGATTCCTTGGACTGGAGGAAATGATCGCACCAGCCAGGCCATGCCCAAGCCAAGCCACGCCACTGTGGTGTGCTGGTTGAGGCCCGGGGCTGAGACTCGGGGGACTGGCACTCTGGTCCCGGCTCAGCCATGACACCTGCAGGGTGGCATTGGTCCCTGGGCCAGGAGCCTCACGGGGTGACTGGCTCTTCGCCGAATCCACCTCTCAGGGATATTGTGATGGGAAGAGGGATAGGAGGATCACATGCAGCACCCTGGGCTTCACGGAAGGAAGGTGGGTGGGTGTCAAGGTAGCAAAAGAAAAAAAAGGACCTTGACACTGCAGGGCCTAAAGGGGGTGGGACTTTCCTACTGTCTGTGTCACACTGTGGCAAGCAGAATGGACCATTATGAAGCGGGGGGGTGGGGTGTCACACAGGACCCCATTTCAGGGATGGGGCTCAGAATGTAGAGGAAACTGGTCTTGTCCGTCTACCCTGGGAAGTCAGCGCTGGCTGTGACCCGCCAGGGTCTTTCCCAGCACCTTCTACCAATCCCCCCAGCCTTTAACCAGAAGTGCTGGGGTTTAATGCTGGCACTTTCTGCATCAAAACATGAGCTCCCCACAGCACCTTGCTCTCTCCCCAGAAGGGCCTCCGGTCTCTTCTTGTCCTTGGATGATGCGCCAGTTTGATGTAGGGACTCAGTCATGAGGTGCACATGAAAAATATGGTACAGGCAGCGGAGGAATGGAGTCCTGTCAACATTTCTGTCCAATACCCTTTAAAAGTGGCATAAGCTTCCTCTGATAGCTTACCTGACTATGGACGATTTTACATTGAGTCCTTTTGTAACACAATATATCTGAAAGGATTGGTCTGTTATACTTCACAAAAATTCTCCAAACTCCACTTTCGGCTCCATGCGGATTGTTCCCACTCTCAGCTGTGACTCTGTTCGTTCGTTTGAACGGGGGAAGTGCACATTTTCACCTGGAGCTTTCAAAATTGTGCCCTTTATATTGCACTGCAATGCACTTTGCATTGGCAAAAGTGCAAATGTGCGTGTGGCTTGGGGAAAATCTGAATGTAAAGTGTGCATTTTCCAACATTCACTTCGCATGCAATTGCAAGGTCGAGAATGTGTGCCCCCCACACAAAAAGTACACACTTTTGCTTGCCTTTGAGAGTGTGGGTGGGACAAGTCAGATGAAATTGAAATTTAGGTGCAAACTGAAATTAAATCCTCAAACATCGCGAGTGCCGACTGGAATGCCTGGTCAAGGGAGAATTACCATGGTGAGCTCCTCTTCCGTTTGGGTGACAGAGAGCAAGTGAATAACTTCAGTCCGTCATGATGTCCCAGCTGCGAGTTTAGTGCCCACATTCCTACTACTGGAGCAGTGACCATCTCACCTCTGAGGGACTGCAAGAGAGCAGGAACTGGGGAGCATGTGAGCGCATGCATGCGTGGGCTCAAGAGGCATGCGATTTGACAGGCTCACAGCCGTAGCGGGTAGCTGATTTCCTCCTTCCACCAAACTTCTTCTTGCCAGAGGCCCTGGTTGTGAGCTGGTGGCCACTGGGCCTGTGACACCTCTAACACGCTTCTGTTGACTTTTTAGCTACAAGGAAGGAGCAAACTTGAATTCCCAGCCAGAAGCTCTTGTGAGAAACTGCCCTGCTGATCTCTGCAATATGATGCTCGCTCTCTGTATCACTCTCCCTCCTCTTTGCATTCCCTTTCCCGCTTCTGCAAGGACTTTTATAATGGCTACTTGCTGGTACTTGCCTGTAATGATGCCATTTTTCTCGGCGGGTTCCTGCCAGCTGACCTTGAGTGAGGTGTCCAGAATCTCCGTGAAGCTCAGATGTCCCACTGCTCCTGGAGCTGGCAATCAGAAAGGGAGATCTGTCAACCGGGCAGGCCCCATTTAGTTGGGACTGGGTTGCACGTGGCAGTGCCAGCGCTCAAGAAATGAAACAGCCAGCAAGACTAGCTAGCAGAGAGCACTGCCTGAGGTGCTGAGGACGACTCCGGTTATCCTGTGTGTGACTTACTCTGCTTCATCCTCGCCCCAGCTACTCACGTACCTAAAATGACTGACAGGGAGAGGATTCTGGCACATTCCCAAGTGAGCGAGCAGGCAGTTGCAGCTTTCCTATGTATCCCTACCGGACCGTTGAGATTTTCTGTTGACACCCTTTTACAAGAGCCCCACCCCCTAAATAAAGGGGGAAACAACAAGCAAAAGGGCCTTTTCTGTGGTTGCGCCTTCCCTCTGGAAGACCACTCCTAAGGATGCGCAACTGGCACCCTCAGTGTTTAGCTTCTGTCCCCAGGGGAAGACATTTTCTTTCGTGCTTGTTTTTAATATAGTTATGATTTTATTAGCTTTCTTACTGCTTGGTGTTACTTTGTCGCGTGCATCGCTTCCTGTTCCCATTCTAATTGTTTTTCAGATGCTGGCTATTTTTTAGAAAATTGCTGATTTCATTGTGCATGCCATTGTCTCTGTGAGCCACCCAAAGAGCTCTCAGGTTATGGGGCAGCATAAATAAATTACTTGTTCTCTGTTTTGGCTCTTGATGTAATGGAATCAGGAGAGTCAGGCAGGCTGAATCCCAAAAAGCAAGTGCCACTGCTGCAGCTCCTCAGCTGTCTAATCAAACCCGCAGCCTTTTCACTGGGGAAAGACTGCTGCAGATGCTAAATAAGCCGGCCGGGCCTGCGTAAGGAGCACACTGCGTTGCTACACACACACTCTGGGTCTGCAAGTGCACAAGCAACTTTGCAATTTTGCAGGCGCACCTGAAGGTTGGAGATGGCCACCACACTCTTCCTAGGAGGGGGAACCCGTCCAAAAGCCTCTCTCAAAATACCGTGCAAGGTAATGAGCTTCAGGGAATGCCTGCAGCAGGGTGGACGTTCTGGAGGGATTTTTTACGGCTTATGCTCAACAGCTCTTAAGACAGTATTCCCTGGCGGGTAATAAAAACGTGTAAAATAGCAGTGTGGCAAAAACCTGCCGTCTTTATTCAGCCCTGATCTTCAACTAAGGCTCTCCGACAGATTTGTAACACTGCTTGCCCTCCACAGATACAGTGCGGAGAGGAAGGTTTTCTGCTCGCTTTGCATCCAGAACGCTTTTGTCACCTGGATCCCTGCCGGCCTGGGCTGCCCTCCTGCTCTGCGGACACCATTTGGCCATTCCTGTTTGGTTTCCCCCCCGCTTGATCCAATTTCTAATCGCCCTCCAGCTATGAAGGAGGAGGTTTGCCAGTAGCCAGCTCCAGCCAATTTATGATTCTGCACCTGCAGTCCAGGGAACACAGTCGAAACTATATTCCCCTGCATCCAAGACTCAAAGTGCTATTCGGGGAGAGAGCCTTGCCTAGGACCAGCTCAGGGTTCTCAGGCAAGACCAGGCTCAAATCCAAGCATCAGTCCTGGCTTTAAGGAAGCACATTTGAAGTGAAACAGCTTCACAGAAAGCTAATGGTGCGACGGTTGGACTGCAGTCTGCTAACACAGAAAGGTCCTGATGGTAGAAAATCTGTATCGCCCGTTCCTCTTCGCACAAGTCTCTCCCACGGCCCATTGGTCAGCGTGTGGGACCAGACTTCTTTAATGCAAAAGCCGTCCATGAGATCTGCCACTGCAGCAAGACCGACGAGCAGATGGCTGATCTTGAGGCCCAGGGACAGGAAACGGCCACATCAGGAAGCTGTCCATGGCCCCTGCATAGCCTGGGCTTCTCTCTCCAACAGCAGGGGCGAGATTTCGAAGGGGAAGCGGGGAATTGAAGGGAGGCATTTGTGCTGCAACCAAAGAAAATGTTTCTTCTCTGTGCAGACTTTGATAAATTAGGCCAGCGAAAAGAACCAAAAAATAATCTAACACGCAATATTACAAATTGGACACACTATGCATGCATTTTTCTTTGTTTATTTTTAGGTAGGATTATTAAATTGCTGAGAAGTGGCCATTTAAAACATGGTTTTGAATAGAGGTTTATTTGGAAGAAAATAGTTAAGCTTCATGATTCCATTTTAAATCTGGTGCAAAGTCTTTCAGCTCCAGCTAGGTTAAACTGGGACAGCTAAACAGAAACCCAGAAACAGAGTGAGTCAGAAGGGGCCGCCTGGGTCATCTAGTCTGACCCCCGGCTCCAGCAGGCTCCATTCAAGACCTGCCTACCATGTGCATGACTAGCCTATCCTTGAACAGCCTCACCGATGGGTCAAATCAAGTACCTCCAATAGCCCGCTCATTGCATGCCTATTGCATGGGCAAAAGGTGATGAAGGAGCAGCGAGTGGAGAAATCTCGCTTTTATTGGGCACCATCCAGAGAGATGTTCTCTTGCAGAAACCCCATGGAAGTGAATGAAAAGCACAGGGGGACACAACACTTCCCAGCTGCCCTTCCCTAAAACAGCTACAGGGTAAATAGCGGGTGCGTCCGATCAGGGAGCTGGTGGACATTCTGGGCAGAGAGACTCACCACTTGAAGGCTGCAGGAGAGGGGCTGTTAGACCCGGGTTCACCCTTTCACGTGGGCCCTTCCCTCTCCTCACAGGGGAGGCGGGTGACCACTGAGGGCAGAAGCTTTCGGGCTGTGGCACCCTGCCTCTGAAGCTCTCGCCCAGAAATCGCAGCTGGAGCCAGGTCAAACATATCTTGGCAGCAGAGTTGCAGGCATTTTATTTGCGGAGGCTTTTGAGAGCTCTTTTATTCCCCCCCTCCCCTTTTTTATTTCATAGTATTGAATATGCTGCTGCTCTGGTCTTTGTTCTAATTTATGGTTTTACTCTTCACTGTTTTGTTGTTTACTTTGTTTTAAAAACTGGTAAACCTCAGCGAGGCTCTTTGGATATGGAAGGACGGGGTACTAAATAACACCCTCAAATGAATGAATGCATGAATAAATGAATTAAAACCTTCCGTGGAGCCTGTGGAAAAGGATGTCCCTGTGAATTATGCCCACTGTGATGACAAATCTTCTCTGTGTTGACAGGCAGACAGCATGTTTCTTCCTGCCAAAATTTTGTATCTTCCAGTCTCCCTGCCACAAACATAAACTAAGATATATGCCTGCAGGAGCCGGCTGCACGTCACCCTCTCAGGACTTCTGTGTTGGCAGGATGCAAGGCCACGGGGCTGCAGAGGCGGCAAAGGGGCAGAGCGCCACTGAAGTTTGCAGGCGGCCTGCTTGGAACATCCAGCCCATGAAGCGCAGCCAGGAGCACTGCTGCGGGCCCGGGGCTTGGTGAGCCGTGCGCAAGAGCATCTGGGTGTCAAGACAGCGAAGCCGTCTACGGCTGCCAACATCTTCTGAACTAACTCCTGGCTCCTCCGAATTATGGGAGAGTTGCCTCAGCCACTGAGCCGCTCTCTTCCTTGGACAGTCTGACACCCCTGCTTAACCCACTGATGTGTCTTTAGGTGGCCTGCCCTCGTTTCAAGGCAGCGTGGGAAGGCTGCTCAGCTGGTGTCCAGGCTGGGCACTGGCCAGACCCCTTTCTGCTGAGCTTCAGCAAATCGTCTCGGTCGCATCCCTTGGCTGCGCCCCAGCACCAATTTTAGGGGGCTGAAGAAATGCAGGCCGTGGGGAGAAGGCCGCCTCTGGAAGGCTGCAGGGTGGGTGGCTGCACGTTAGCTTCTGAGCAGAGGTGGGATGCCTGCATGGCCAGGGCCTTGGGTGGGGGATGCTGTGTGAGCCCGTGGGCAGGCGGCTGGCCGGTGCCTGAACAGAGCACCGGACGAGATGGACCCGGGCCCTTCCCATGCACTTCACAGGGAATTAGGCACTCAGATGGTGTGTCTTTCCAGCTGACCAACCATTTTGTTTAAGCAAATAAGCACTGGAGCGCTCTCGGCATCTAAGTGCTTTCAGTTATGTACCCTCGAGCCACATGACAGAGACCAATGGGAAACAAATGCAAATTCAGCTCTCGCACATTGTGCAGTGCCTCTGGTTTATCAATTAAGTAGTCAATATAATATAGCAATTTATTAATAGCAGATTATTTAGAAGCAATTTAGGGAAGCCAGCTACTTACTATGGCTCAATTATACTGAGAGAATGAGCTTCCCCAAGGGAGAGGTAGGCAACATTTACAATATGGTATCAAATATCCTTCCAGCAGAGAGCTGCTTGTATTGTTAAAGTCTGATTAACCCATGTGGTTGTTTGCCTTGGTTAATAAACTTGGGAACTGGTTTTGGCCCAGCTGGGAGGGCCATCCACAGGTACACAAGCTTGGCCATCAGCAGGCCAAGTACTTTATAGAAAACCAGGAAGATTTTAGAGGAGGGTAACAAAGATTGCTAGTGGTGCAGAAAACAGGTCCAGTCAGGAAATTCTGAAGCAGCTTAGCATGCTAAGTCTGGAGAGGAGAAGAGTGAGGGAGCGGAAAAGGTCATTCTAGTCAAAGGCCTAAAGAGCCGCCACACAAGGTGGGTAACGCTTTATTCTCTGCCACCTGAAAAGACAGGACGAGATCAAAGGCATTGACATTACAAGTCAGAAACATCTGAAATGGATTCACAGGACTTTGGATGGCTCTGAATCCAACCTGTGGATTCCACACCAGGCAAGCACCTTCTAAGTTGTGTGGATTTTGTGGACATTTGGATTAAAAAAAAAAAAAAAACCTTTCTGGAATTGTATGCAGATTTAGCTGTACAAAAGCAAGAACATTACTAGAGAATATGCTAATATATAACATTAAACACACACACACACACACACACACGCACACACACCACGTTTGTGATCTCTTTCCAGTCTCCATTGTGCAGCCCTCTTTTTTGTGTGCTCCACTTACTGACTGTTTGTTAAGCTAAGAAAAATATCCACAATGTTAAATACCAGTTAACCATGCATAAATTGTGGTTGCCTTCCTTGCATGCTTTTCTGACAGTTTCATTCATGAGATGGGATAAAAGCCTGTGCAATAAAGATGGGATAGACTCCAAAATCTATACATCCTTAGCTACAGGAGGGGCGATTTCCACAGAATCGTAGGAAGGGGGCATTCGGGACGAGAGCAGTTCAGCGATGGATCCCAATTGCCTGGGCAAATTGGTGCAAGTCTGACTGGGCACCCCTTTGAGGGAGTCTTTGTGGATTAGCTGCCTTAAACAGGTTCCGGCAGATTTGCTGCCTTAAGCAGAGGATTTGTGGGTTTGCTGCCTTAAGCAGTTTCTGGACTCATTCCCTCAAGTTTCATGTGTCTGAAAAATGGCTTGCAGACAACCCTACTTACTGTCTTCGTGTGTCCAGAGGAGCTGTGGTGGACTTTGTGGCCCATCCCCTGGGGTGGTAAAGCAGAGGACGGACGTGTAGTAAGCTGTAAATTTCTTCAGATTGGTGATGTAACCGCTGTGAACGCCGTGAAAATCGGGAGTAATGGTGACCGTGGTCAAGGTTTCTGGTGCATCGACTGGCCAGGCCAGGAGCTAGGAGGAAGTCAATTTAGGAGAAGATTAAATTGCATTAGGGATAGTTCCCATTCACAATTCAATACACTCAACGTCTAGGATTTTATTAGCTCAATTCTCAAAGTGCAAACATCACCATTAATGCAATTTCACAAAGATGGGTGTATGTATACAGATTTCACCTTGTTACTGTTTGCTAGAAGGACTTTCATCTTGCATGCAGCTACAGATGGGGCACTTAAAGGTGTGCCTTTTAAAAGTTAAAGGGACACCTTTTGACCTCCCCATTCAGGCGTTCTCAGAGGCTCTTGAATCTGAGCAGAGTGGGTGCTTCGGACCCCAGAGGGAGCTGTTCTTGTGTGCAGCGGACTCAGCCGGGCCTGAACGGAGTACAGAGGGCAGCAGGTGGGGCCAGAAAAGCCCCCGGGCACGGTGCAGTGCAGCACAGCCCACACGAGGCTGGAGCAGGGCTGTGCCCCCGCCCAGGAGACAGAGACATGGCTGCCCCATGTGAGAGACACTGGAACAGGGGCGGCCCGTCCTCTCTAGCCACCCCCGTCCCCGGAAGTGGCCCCTCAGCAGCAGCAAGTGCGCTTCCTCATGGCTGGCAGGCCGAGGGGCCACACAGGGGACCGGTGCTGGAGAGCCTTCAGGCTCACTGCCCAGTCCCCCAGCCGGGGCACACGCACTGCCTGGCTCACGCGGGGTGGCCCCTGTGGCTGCTGCGTTGTGTGAATGTGCCGTTGTCGAACGGGCAACGAGGGGCTGGGGACAGAGCTACCTGCTCCAGGCAGTCTGCCCCGTGCTGCCGAAGCAAGCCCGCCACCCTCAGGAGCAGTGGGGGACAGGATCCTGCCATCAGCCAGTGCTGAAGTCGGAGTCCCTTGCCAGTCTGGATGGCACAGGGAAAGGGCGGAGGGTCCTGTCCTTGGCAGGCAGTGAAGGACCGTGTGCCAGCTCTGCCCTGAAGGAAGCTACCTTGGCTCCAGTGCACACGTCTTTTAAAGTTCTTCTGCAACTAGAACTGATGCTAAACTGCAAGAAGAATGAGCCTGCTTGGGAAAGTCCTTTAGAACTGACTTCAGAACCTCAGAATCTTGCCCATTAGAAGACTAATCACTTTTTGCAGCAGAAGGCCAGGTCAAGGGCAGCAGGCACCCTGCCCGTTTTCTTCACAGGGACGGATTGGTGCCAACCGACCCAAAGAGCGGCAACGCACATCTGAAAGGGGCAAGGAAGGGAGAGCTGCTTTATTTCTCTTTGGGGACCTTTGTTCTGCTGACTATTTTAGGTAATCAACACATGAACAAGGGTTTCCCCTGCAGCGGTTCTGCATGAGAATTGACCTATTCTGGACATCCTTGCAGCATTGAAAGGGGACACGTGTGGCTGCCTCTGGGAAATATTACCACTTGTATGGCCGAAGTTACCCTTTCAAAGCATTTTGCTTGAATTAGCAGCACTATGGTACTGGGTCAAGAATGAACACGCTCTTGTAATCGGCAAACACAGAGTTGAAGCAAGGTATGGACAAGTCCTCAGCTGCAGCTGTGATCTCCTGGAGCATGGCCCATATGGACACAGAGCCTTCACAGCAAGCTGCCAGAATTCACACTCTCACCCAATCTGCCCAAGTTCCAGGCAACCGGAACTGACTTCACAGCAGCTTCACAAGGGAAGGAAGGTTGATTTCATGCTCCCACTCCCTCCACTCATGGAATTGTCACATCATGCTTGGAAGAAGATTCACTTGCATTCTGGCAAGTTTCAAAAGGAAAGGAAAGTTCATAATGGCAAACAGAGAGTCTTGCTTCTCCTTTTTAAAAATCATGTCTATGAGAAACAATGCAAATGTCCAAATGTCAGCAACTGTGCTTTTCTATTCCCTTGCTTCCCAAGAGTTTAGCACTGCACAGTCCCATAAAATGAAGCTGGGTGCATTTACCATGGAATGTATGCAATTGGTGGCATCCGTTTGGCAAGCAGACACAGAAAATTTTGATTACTGGTAATTTATAAACCATTACGCAAATTATGCAGTACAAGAAAACGTGATAGAAATGTTCTCCCCACACCATACACATTACGGTTTAAAAAGCTGTAAGAGAAATGCGAACTGCACAGATGCTCCAGTCTAAAGGAATTAAAGAAAAGGGATGGAGGAAGAATGCTGACAGTTAAAAGCAAGGGTATTGCTACTGCTTGACAAGTGTGAATCAGCCAGTGAATCATTTCATACGTTTTCTAAAGGAAGCATGGCTTAAACAACAAATTGGTTATAAAAACAAGCTCCAATAACAGCCCAGCAGTAATGGTGGAGCTGAACTTATTTTGTTAAGCATCCCAAGCCCATTACTGAAAGGTCATTCTGGTCTCAGTTCCCAGGCACAATCCCCTTTAGGCCCGGAGGATCAATTCTGTGGCTAGCAAATTGGATGCTGTAGCCCGGAGAAGCTCAGTTCTCAGAGCCCCTTGGGCCTGCCAGAAAGAGCCCTTTGAAGAGTGGCCCTTGTCAAAGTCAGCCACAGTTTCCATTTGATTCCAGGAGAAGCAGTGTTCTGACATCATGGAACAATTGGGTCCTTTCCTCAGATGTCGCTGGCTTTGCGTAGTGGGGAGTTGGACAGGTTCCCTTCGCTGTCACTCATCAAAACTGATCATGACGCGCATTTGTCACCTTCTCTTCTCCTCACCCCACCAAGGAGGGAAGCGTCACCCAAACAGCTGTGATCATGTGTTCAGGCATCACTGGGTGCACTGGCATGATGTATAATTTGCGAGCGTTTGGGAAAGCCAGCTTCTACATGTCAGAGACCAGTCCTCACTGCGGAAAATCACCCAGTCATACTGTCAAGTTTCCAAATGAGTTCATGGCTAGCTTTTTATTAACCGGGGCATTTTTAGCCCACTGCGCAGTCCTTAGTCTCTCGCAGGACATGCCACAATAAAACCAAAGTGGCCATTAAAACCTCAGGACCAACAACTGATTAAACCGCACCAGTGCACAGAGCACCAAAGGGCTCTGATTGGGTAGTAGGTATTTTTTTGCAACTCATTTTAAAGCCATGACTGAGGGGACGAGGCGACCATTGTGAGGACAGCTGGTGCAACGGAAAAGGTTCCACCTCTCACTTTCACCAACGGCAATTTTGATGTCAAGGCAATGCAGAACATCTGCTTGGTCATAGATCTAGGTCTGCAGGCCAGGATGGAGGTTCTGGATGGAGATGGCCTTTCAGGCCCATCCCTAAATTTTGTGTAACTGCAGCACGACAGGTTATTGTGGATATGCTACATAATGTAGAAGGTATTGATCCAAACCTTGTATCCCTGGTTGATCCCGTTGATGAACTGCTGTGGAGGCGGGTTCCATAAGAACTGGATGGTGGTGGAGTTCACCGCTTCTGCTTGGACGTTCTGTGGAGGTGCGGTAGGCACTGCACGAGGCCAGCCGGGAAGAGACAAAGTGGAATTGATGGCAGCCGGGCAGAACAGGTGGAAGAAAAGAGAAGGGAGAAAGAAGAACCTTTAGCAGACACTCACAATGCAAAGGAAGCAACAGTGGTGTGAACAGGGATCTGTGATTTATGTTTCTGATGCTCAGAGGTGACTTATAACGAAAGTTAATTGGGTTATTTCTCAGTTTCTATTGGAGAGCCCTTCAATGGCCAGAGGAGGGGATGAAATGGTTCTTGTGGCTTATTATTCTACAGATGAGCTTTTCCCCAAAGACCTAAGGCAGACACACAGAAGATGGGTGAATAGTTTTCTCTGTTATCCATGGATGTATCGGGAGACTGCAAAAAAAAATAATTATAATACTTTCTTCTGTTCATTAAAAATTGGAGGAAACAATCAAGAGGGCAGCAAATAAAAACCTATGGCATAGAGATTGGATCCTAGATCTTTGTTCTTCTTTAAAAAGGGGCTAACCACTCAATCCCATTCATGTTTACTTGAAAATAAATCCCAGTGTAAGCCCAGTTGCTCTTGTTTCCAGGTGTATCTACACAGGATTGTAGCCTAAATTACAGAGCCTTCAACAACAGACCCACTAAAGTAACATTTTGTATACTGGATAGTTAAAATCGTATTTCATATAGCACTTCATTTGCAAACTGTAAAGATCATTAACAAGGTTATTTCACCTTTAGTCAATTTACTTAACAACCTTTAGATCCAAAAATTAAACTTTCATTTATTCATAATTAGAAGCAACAAGAAAGAGTCCAAGTACAGCAACCCTGTGCAAATGGGCAGCGAAGGATCAAGGGAAGCTTTGACGGTGGCTTCCGGCCAAAGAAAGAGATCATGTCTCAAAAGGAAAAAAAGTTCAATTTCATCCATTTACTTGGATTGTTTACTCTCAGTTCCACAGTCCCGGAGAACCACCATTCCAAAAACACTCATAAAAATACTTACTTGCAAATATTTTTTCCTGGTTCTATATGAGGTCATATCTGCAAACAGCCCGTTTGCACAAGCGGGTGGCTCCTTGACCTGGCCAAGGGATACCCGGCCCTGTTCTGCAGGGGGTTGTGCTCCCACGAAGCGATGATGCGGTCCACAGACTGGGAGTGCCTTTGAATGCAGTGTTGCCACTAGAGGCACAGCTGGACCGGTGGCACAGAGCACCTGCATCAGCTTGGACCAGCGTAGCAGCTCCCTTACGTGGATTGGGGCAGCCTAGCTACAGGTGTCTGCTCTCTGGTAAGTACCTGGCTGCATTATGGCAAGGCGTTATATGTGGGACTGCCTTGGCCAATTGTTGGGAATCATCACCTGGTCCGAAAGAGGGCAGCCGGGTAGTTAACAGAAGCTAGCTCATCTAGACGCGTATCTTCCTTCCATTGGTACTGGTTACCAGTCCACAGCTGGACCCACTTCAAGGCGCCGCTGTTAACATTCGAAGCCCTAAAAGCCTCTGGAATAGCCATTCCACTAGAGACTTCCACAGGGGAAGAGGAGCAGTGGGCCCTTGCTCTCTGCAGCTGAAATGCTGGTTTTGTCCCTCTGCTTTGACACCAAAGACGCGATCCCGGCACTATCTGCAGGTGCCCCGTAACTGATACACCATGTCCAGGAGCAGCAGGTGGCTTCCTGCGTCTTCCAGCAGTGTGTGTGGAAAAGGATACAGGTGGTTTCCACAGAGGAGGAAGACATCCCTGTTGCTATCGGCCTTCTTACACACTTGCCGGAGCAACGTATCAATTCCCTGCTTGTCCTCTGCTTCTCTCTGTGGGCAGTGCGTACATAAGCCTACAGAGAACTGTCCATGGTGCTGATACTTAGGAAACACTAAGGCTTGCTTAACTTATCCTCGGGAAAAGTGAGCGATCAGCCGGATGTGTGTTGCAAGGAGGGTGCTGATCTGGACTGAACTGAGACATTTTAAATGCCTGATACGGAAATAGAAATTCACAGAGTTAGACCATGAATGTTGTCACCACGGATGGTTTAACTCGGTGTCCTGAACTGAGCAGGGGATGGACCTGATGGCCTTCTGTTCCCTTCCATCTCTGTGATTCTCTGAACAATGGGATCCTTTTGCTGTCGGCTTAAAAGCAAGTTCCAGTGAACAGTGGGACTTGTTCCACAGGTAAACGTGCAAAGGAGTGCAGCCTTGATTAACACAGGGCATAATCCATTCCAACATGTTCCTGTCCCCGTTGATTAAGCCTGGCCTGGTGGTCTTCCGCAACTCTAACATCTTATAATGAAGTCTACATGGAAGACATTTCCAGGGGTTTCTGCCTATGCTCCGTACTGATCTTCTGGGGTGCTGCCATTTGGCACCCAGGATCTGCACTTCTGTGGTACTGAGTGGGCATGTGACGTGGGCGATGTGCTGGTGCCAGCAAAGAGGATGACTGTGGGGAGCCCACCCTCCTCGGCGAGGCCAGCTTCTCACTTTGGGAAGAATAACGGCTTCTTGGCACAGGCTAGACTGAGAGTCCTGGAAGTGTTTCGTGCAGAGTGCGCCTACTCTGAAGTCATTCTTAAACATTTTCCTGCTGCACAACTTTGCAGATCATCTCTTTGAAAGACTCTGAAAGACTTTGAGGAACAGGGGATCTGCCCTTTGGGACTGAGACTTACATGCACAAACATAGGGTTTCTGCTCATAACCCACATTTTTTGGGAGCCTTTACAAAGATGAAGAAGCACTTATTGACAACTTTCAAAGTAATGTGGCAATTCCATGCTGGATTTTTCTTATTTCAGAATGGAAAACATTCTATTTCAGCAAAAGCATGATGCTTTTTAACCTGGAATAAATCACTGCAGCATAAAAGGGAGCTGCTGCAAAAGGGAGAAAATGATAAAATCCAGACTTGGGGGAAATGCAGTTCTGGAAATCATTATTTATGGCATAGTTCATAGAGAAATGCAACTTCTGAATCTCAGTGAAAGCGCTTGCTCTGGGGATAAAAAAAAGACTGACTGGCCAGTGTGTGGATATTTTGCATATGCGTGCACGTGTATTAAAAATCAGCATAGATGAGTAAAGGTGCTGTGTGAAATTGTGCCTTGTTGTGCTGAAAGTTGTTGCTGCGCATGGCGCAGCGGTAGCAATGGGCCAGTAACCAGGCTCACGCTGCTCACAGATGCTTCCCGGCACAACATGGAGGCTGCAGATTGCTCTGAACCAAAACAGACTCCTTTCCCTGGTGGCGCACAGCCTGCAATGCCTTCTGACAAATTTGAGGAATTCCCCGAATCGCACAGCAAAGCTGGTGTGAAAGAACCAACCTTTACGTTCTTCTTGGTAAAGTTCACTTAGCTAGAAATGCATCAGAAACTCGGGCATCTAGATCTGTAAGTTAATATGTAGTAATCTCAAAATGCTTTCAGCAGAAAAGGTCAGAAAGGCAGCATGAATGGAAGCCATTAAATGGACTCAGGTGGCACAGTAATGGGAAAATGAGGAGGGATTTAGGCTAAACAGATTGCCACTGCGACTAACGATTTGTGAATATGCAGAGCCAGAAGATAAGGGGCGTGTGTAGCAAAGGCTTGGATGGTCTTGCAAGAAGCTTTTGATATTTCAGAATGTTAGTTTCCATTCCCAAACATCATGGGCCCTTTGCCAGGCAGACTGGACTGTTTCTGAAGATTCCGTTTTTCTTTTGTAATACTGGTTTAAAAAGTGGCTCTGTGATACTTAGTTCTCAGTTGTAAGCAAATTTATTTCATGGATTTCACTGATTTGGGTTGACTCCCTTTCAAATCAGCATGCGTGTTGGACTGAAGGCTTAGAAATGGACAACTGGTCATGAAAGAAGTGTTGCATTCCAAGCTGTTTCTTTAGGAGACCACGAAGCCATTCCAGGTCTGCCTCCTAAGCCAATTCCCTCTCTTCTGTCATTCAAAGAAGTGAACGAAAATGCCTCCTAGCCAGGAGATCATATCTAGGCATTTCTAGACAGACTGAAATCCCTTTAATTTGCATGGTTCACCCCTCTTTTGGAATCTGGCAACTGTGATGTGCTAACCACCCTCTACAAAACTGCCATCCCCAGGTGTCTTTTGGGTTAGGGAAATTATCATAAAGATCAGTCATAATGCAATTTTAAGCTATCTTAAATGTGTAGCTATCTTGCTCACGGGGATATAAATTGAAGTGAGATAATTCACTTCTTAACAGAGGAACCATAAGCCGCATAGTAATGTGAGCAAGCTTGCTGTAGAGCTCAGGAAAGCCAGTTTCCCGTCCCCGCTGCATTCTGAGATCCAGCCACTGTATAAGGCCAAGACAGACAGACAGACCCAGGAGGAACTGATTGCGTTTGAATCGACACAGCTGGCTTCCTCAGCGTAGCTCGATGTCTGCCTGGTTTGCAAGTCACAACATAAAAAGCAGTGCGCACATCTTGCTCATTCACTTTCTACTGTGTTTTTTACCCGAACGGCTTTCTAAGGGATGATTCACTTGCTCCCTGTTTATGTGCTGATGAAGAGATTTCCATACGTTTTCTGTGTGGGTGCGAATATTCTGTTTCCTAGTCAGCTTTCCGTGGCTGCCAAATTGCCAGGGAAGGAGGACTGTGGGAGTGATACGAATGTCCTGATCCGTTCGCTTGTCCTACGAACTAGGCATGGAAGAATGATAGGTGCACAGACTCGTTCTGAGTGTGAGCAAAGATCCAGATCTGCTTTGTCATCAGAAGACGAGCAAGGAAGACGGAAATAAATGAGATGCTTGAATGTTGTGGGCATGCAGTGAGGAAGAGAGGGGCATCTCCCACGTGCAGAGGGGCATCTCCCCAAGGTGACTGTACGCTAGTGAGAAGTGAGCGCCGAACCATCGTTCTGCTCTGCGAGCTGACTAAGCGATTCTGCCACTCAACTGCCTTCTTGGAAAATGGCTGGAAGGGACAAAGCCCAGCTCCTGCTAAGGACCCTTGTTGGACAAAGGACGCTTGGTGGTGGTGTGACCTTCACCTTCCCTCCAGCCTATTTTTCACAGGTGGCCTCCCCCTCTCTCCTCTTTATAACCAGTGGTGCGATCCGTCTACTGGTTTCCACGGGGAAAGAAAAGCAGTGCTGCCAGAAACAGCTGCTTGCTTCAGATGGGCAGCCGAGAGGCAGTTGACCGCTTACTGCTGGACTCGATGGACCTTTGGTCTCTGCTGCAGGTTCTTAGCCACTGGTTTTGCACTCTGAAGGCACCATCACTACCACTGAGCTGGGAAGCAACCAGGAAGTGAATGTGCCCGCGGCTTTCCTGCACCGGAGTATCTCATCATCTTCTAACACAATTATTCGAATGCACAGAGAAGAAAGCCTGAAGAGAAAGTTTCCGTTTCTTACACCCCCACGAGGGATTTGGGAGCTGTTTATATTATTCAGGAGTGAAAAATGGTCACAAGCAGCAACTGCCTGGATTTTCTCCAACTGCAGAGTAACAGAGGGAAACCCATCACCTCACTGAGAGGCTCTGACATTAGTCATCTCTCAAATGAGATGGGGTCCAGGAAAGGCTGCCCTTTCCATGGCAAATGAGAAACCTTCGAAAGAGAAAACCTAATCATTTGCAGTGCAATAAAATCCACATTAGCACATAGCTATGTGGCTCATCTGTCTAGATTATGAAGCACTAACACAAAAATAGACTTAAAAAAGTTAAATGTCCAACTTTTAATCTACAGCCATTCACTATCTATCACATAGTTTAAGCTCCTTGCTCAAGAATGCAAGGAACCTTACGTTCTGTAATGCAGAATGGACCTCTTCCAACGTACGGCATAGGATTTATATATATAAATGACTACCGACCGCTGGTCAATAAAAGATGATAATAACATCACGCCATATCAAGCAACCTACATTAGAGCCAATTGCTGGGATTAAGGAAAGGAATCAAAGATCTGAAATCTAAATAGATGCTGAAGGAGATGGTTAAAGTATCAGCACAACATGAAATGCCAAATGAAAGAGAATGTCAAGACCTTACAGGCAGCAGAAAGAATATGATTCCAATCAAGGTAGGAAAGGAGTATCGGAATGCGTGCCACTTCAGAGTGAGACATTGTGGAGAAGAATATATCAGAACTCTCAATATTTTAGTAGGCTATTCCTTCCTGTGCAAACAAAAGGACGTGGCTGCACCAATTGCAGAGAAAATGTAATGGGGCCAGCCAATTAAATATACCAAAAATTTAATGAATAATTCCCGGTGCATTTCAAATATTTCCATCAGGGGATATAGTCCAATGGTTAAATAGAAACAGCACAGATGGAGTTCTAGAAGGAGGTGCAGCTTTCTTTTAACAATATGCCTAACATCTCTCTTGATAAAGATATCTGAATTGAATGGGGAATCCTGTTATTTGTTAAGTAATGATTGCCCTTAATTGGCTTTGTCTGTTGCATTTCATTTTTCCAATGGGGTCTTTAGGGGAATGTGGCAAAGATTTGAAGACGACTGATTGTCAAGGGAAAAGTATTTATTTATTGACTTCTTTTATATTGTTATTTATTTTATATTGTTAATTTTATATTGTTATTTTTGTATTTTATTGTATTTTATTTTGTGTTGTGAGCCGCCCCGAGGCTTCGGCAAGGGGCGGCATAGAAATGTTTTAATAAATAAATAAAAATAAAAAGATCTCTCAATGGTGTGTGTTGCCTTTGCTATGTGCCATCAAAGCCCCCCAAAATGTCCTGGGCAGCCCTGCTCAGCCCGTGGAACCCCGAGGTTGTGCCTTCCTTATGGAACGGATCCATCACGCAGTGTCTGTAGAGTTTAAATAAAATAAAATGAGCTTGAACAATGATAATTAAATCCACTGTGTGGCTTCCCCTGTACATCCTGCAGTACATCCAAAGCACCTATCGAGAGCTGACACTGGTGCTCTCAGAGACATGTGGACCACAAGAACCACCGTGCTGAGCCTGATCAAGGATGTGGGCATCCATCTGGCCAGATCCTGCTTCCAGTGATCAACCAGGGAACATTGTGTGTGCGCACGCCAATAGTACAAGAACCATCTCTATTTCCTACTCTCCAAGAAACGCCTTACTGGAAACTGCTTCAGCTGATTAATTCTGAGCTAGTTTCTTGCCAAGGAAGTGCCTGGGAGAACACCTGGAGAAATCAGGTGTCCCTTTTACTGCCCCATCTCGCTGCGGCTGAATTTCCCCCTTCGTCTCTAACCGAGTTATGCAAACCTTCTCACAAAGGTGCACTGTATTTAATCATGCAGTAATATTACTCTCCTATTCCCAGTCAGCAAAACCATTGCTGATTATGGAGTAGCTGATGTACCATATCTCAGATGGGAGCTCTTAACAGTTCTCTTGCTTTTTACAACTCACTAAAACTAAAACCACGACACTCTCTACTAAATTCAGCAATGGGATGCAATTTGGGGACATCAATGGACACTACAATGGCTTCATTTTCATTCACAAGAGGCCTTTTACAAATGAGCAAAGATGATACTCTGGAACAACGAGGGCGAAAGGTCTCAAAATCCTGGGGCCATTAACCTATCCTTTTGCAACTGCTGTATCTACATGGAGGAAATATTCCCAGTATCAAATACAAGCCTCCGAGCTAGAGCATCAAACTCAAAAATGTTCTGTACCCTGCAAGGTTGCCTGTATCAATCAAGCACATGTTTGCGTCCTAGCGGAGCCTTATTTCTTTCTTCCCACCATGCTCCTTGAAATGTGCCGCAGCCAGTGCGGAAAGCACAGTGCCAGGTGTGGGGATGGAGAGAGCGTTCTCCAAACTTAGCGCCGTGGCTCTGAAGGCAAAGCACTCTCACAGCATTGGTGCTGGGATGCTGACGTTTCCTAAGGCCCTCTAGCCACATCCAGTAGAATCAGGCCCATGGGACTACCCTGACGTTGGATCCGCCAGTCAAGATGAGCACATGAGCCAGCAAACTTTGGAAGGGAGTCACTTGCTACTCCTGGTTAGGCCAAACTGTACTCACGGAATAACTCCTAAAACTGCATACTTGCAGAGCAATAACAGAGGTCCAGTCCAGAATATAATTTGGCCCACGTTGTATCTGACTGCATCTTGTGTCAGATACGGAGTGGGATTCAAGCGAAGTGGGAAGATTAGGCTGCCCAGAAATAAAACAAAGGAGGATTAAACAACAAAGACGAATGTTTGAACATGGTAAAAGAGGGAAAGGCAAGGCAGATGCTGGCCGTCACCTTCTTGAACCCCGAAAAGGCACATCAGCACCTCCTGCTTTCCTCCCTGCTCACATTATGCTTCTTCCCACACTCAGCCTGCTGAGAAAGAGTCTCCCCCTCGTGCTTTCAGGAGTGATCCCACTAACACCCACGCGGGCATTTTATGCTCAAGCAGCGGGACGAAAGACGCCCTGCAGAACTCACCTCCTTGCAACGTATATTCTGTGACTGCCCTGCTGAAGGCGCCCAGACCAGCTCCGTTGTAAGACGCCACTTGGATCTCATACTGAGTCCAGATGATCAGGTCTTTGACCAAACAGTAGTTTATCTCTGCACTGGTGATATTCTTGTATTGGTACTCTCCGGGGAGGCCCGCCAGACGATACCTATACAGAAAGAGGATCATTTGTTGAAGCCGGACACACTGGCCACCAAAATGGCTTCCTTTGAAAGGAGGAAGCTGTCATATCCCCCCTTCTGCGGCAACTTCCTCGGGCGAAATCAGAGCTGGCCACGGCTTCACTGGGGGAGGAGGACAGCTTGGTTGGCCCCAGTGCTTCAGCAGGGGAGGCCACCTCCGGGCAACAGTTGCTGATCTGAGAGATTCCCCGGATGCCCCGCAGGATGGCGTCCCTGAGGAACACGGGCAAAACGGGGTAGCCTGGCCAAAGGCCTGAGCACAAGGCGGAGGCAGGTGCTGAGACACAGCACAGCAAAGAGGGCGCCCACAGGAAACAGCTTCACAGGAAGCAAAGGGGCTCCTTTCTCCTTCGCTCTGGCCTGGCTGGCCAGCTTACCTTCCCATTTCATTTTCTCAAACACTCTCCTCAAAATGCCTTTATTTGCTCAAAATAAAATGTGGAAGAAGTAGAGAATCTTGGCAGGTACCAGGAAAGGGGTCTGAGAGTAGGGAGCCCCATGTTGCCTATCCCAGCTTAAAGGGACCCATGAAGATGGCCAGCGGCCTCCAGCCCAGGATCCTGGAGGAACCCAGCACACCGTGACTGTTCTCCAGACGCACAAGTACAGCCAGAAGCCCAGGGCAGAGGTGGGGGGATGCGTGGAGGTCCGGGCCATGCAGCACGGCGGTCACTGGGCAGAAGAAACTGAGCCGCACAGCGATAGCAGCACGGATGGGACACTCTCCCCCAACGATTTTACAGAGGAAGAGCAAGAACACTGGGAATAATATTGGCATTAGAAAATGAGTCAATAGAAGGAAAAGAACATTAGCACCGGCAGAAGCGGAATGCCTTCTGCTTGACTGCCCTGATATTTGTATTCTGAACTCACTGAGACGACGTGCCCAGGGCTAAGCAAAACTTGTGTTTTATCCTGCTTTATAGCTGTAGAAAAATTACAGCTTGTCTAATAAAAACGATGATTTAGAGTCCAGCTTCCTTTTCCATGCCCCCTCCACTTCTGACACTTCTAGACATTATTTTTTTGTCAGGGTGGAGCTGTAAATCAGCTTGAGCTGTGTTTATCCCTGAGACTTCTGCCCCCTAAATGAGAGTTCAAGAGCGACCAGCCGATGACTGGGATCCATGTCCAAAGTGCAGCAATGATCTTTATGGGAGTAACAGGGCTTTATAGGGAATGACTGGATGAAGAGTTCTGGAGCGGCCACAAGTGAGTCAAGGTTTCACCTTACAACTAATCGCTACAGCAAATAGTCTTTATGGCCAAGTGCTGCTCCAGGCCACGCAAAGGCTTAATTGGTGGTTGCGAATGGGCAACATCTGTCCAGCCTCCGAGTGCCCACGGCAGCAATCAGGATCCGCTTTGCCAGCCTGCATAGGTGCTCTCCTTTGAGCCCCACAACCGCCCCATGGGGTGGTTCAACTGAGAAAGAGAGTGCCCCACTCGCCACAGTGGCTTAGAGGGCTGAGTGGGGACTGGAAGACACACCTCTGCTCTCCGAGTCCACCACTCTCTCGACTGTACCTCACCGACTGAGCTCCAGTTGTATAAGTGTAATCTTACACATAGCTATGCAGGAGTAAATCACACTGGATTCAGTGGGACAGCTGAGGGGTTAGTAAGTATAGAATTGCAGCCCTGTTCAGTTTGTAACCTGCCTTTCTACAAATAGGTAATCAAGGTGTCTAACAGAAGCTAATACCTACAATATTCAGCAGTCAATAAGCAATGGTCAATGCAAAGGAGAAAGCTGTAAAGCAGAGACAAAAAAGTGAACAAGCGTTTTCAGGAAGTAGTGGGACAAATGAAACCAGGATCTATTAAAAGCTTGAGGGAATGAGAAGGACTGCAGGAGATCTGCAGCCGCTGAGAGAGATGCAGCCAGGTGAGCCAGTGGAGGGGCAAGCTCCAAAGGGCAGTGCCATTCCGGAAAGCTGCCTCTTCTGTGTAGCCTCCCAGTTGTCTGTCTTGCAAAGGCACCAGTACAACCATTGCAACATTTAGCTCAGAACTGTCTTCCTTGCTCGGCAGCCGCTCACAGAGGTTCCGTCAGCCCTATCGGAAGAGGCCAGGGACTGAGCATAGGACCTTCTGAATTCAAGGCACACCTTTGCCTGAGCTGCCGTCCTTTCCGGCCTGCCATCCGCATCCTCTCCGTGAGCCAGTGGGCTGATGCAGGAGGCAAGTCTGCTTGCACTATGCAAATCCCGGATCATTCAGAAGGCCCAAGGTCAAGATCGATGCCTTGAACTGTGCCCAGGAGCTCATGCTTCACTGGCGCTGCTTGTCCAATAGCCATGTAATGGGCTCATGGCAGCTTCCGCAAATCAATATTTGGACTGTTTTATTCTGTGCTAGATGCAGCTTCTGGACAACATTCAAGGACAGCCCCACAAAGAAGAGGTACCTTCTCAGGACTGCCATTTTGCTTGGGCCTGCAGACTGGCAGAGGCTGTCTGTGGCCTCAGGCAAACTCCCCCATCCTCTTTAACGGGGGGCCCTTAAACTGGAGATGCCAGGCTGGCAATGCTAAGCTAAAGTCCCTTCCACCAAATGCCACCAGGGCATGAAAGGAGCGCCCCGGTGGAGAGCTGGCTGCTTTTCAGCTGCTCTTCTTTGCAGTAGGCACAAGATTGGAGTCTGCCTGTTTCAGATCTCAAGCCCCGACTACAGGATGAAAAAAAGACATCCACATATACACTCATAAGCCACTAGGCATATATGGTGATGAGCTCTCTTCCAAACACAAAAGTAATGCAAGATGCTGCAGAAGAGAGACTGAATCAACATCTCTGTGTAGGAGGCCTGACCTGGAGAGCCAAGGCATATAGTCACACTCAAAGGAAATAACCATTATCAAAACCGAACGGTGATTGGAGGACTGAGGGCTTGAGGAGAGGCGGGGATGAATGTTCTTTCTTCAGCAGGAAGACACTGTGCAGGGGCTGCTCAGAACATGCTAATCCGCATATCTGAAATAAGTACACTAAATACCAGTCTGACTTGCAAATGAGGCATTATGAGTCAGGGAAAAGGCAGACATAGAAATAGTTCTCTTGCTCGCACTTCCACTTACCCCTAAATTAACACGCCACAAATAGGGAAAGGGGCTTGGGTGACGAGGCAGGTTCTCCTTGAGCCTGCTTGCTGCCAGCCCTGAACGCTGCATGGAGACAAAGAGCACGCAGCTGGTGCCAAAAACAGCAGTTTGCGTCAAGTTTCCCGAGTCTGTCTGCAGCGTCTGGTTTGATTTATTCCATGTCCTGAAATCATTTACAGTCTGGGCTTCTCTGCCCTCCAGAGGTAGCTGGTGCAACTGTGCAGGGTGGGAAGAGCACTCTGCACTGATGTGAAGACACGAGTCAAATTGAACTTGCTGTTTTGGAAGGGGAGGGACTGGATACGGGGGCTGCCATTCTGAGCATCGGTCCAGTGTTTTTCGCAGTGCTTTGCTCTTGCCACAGGCAACAGTTGTGGTTGACAAGAGGTTGCTCTGAATCCACACTTCGAAAGACTAGCCCAAAGCCCGGGTGCAGTTCTATCACCTTCCTACTCCTGCCCCACGCAGCCCCAGCAGGAAACCCATTATCCCCCGCTTTCCGGGCTGATCAGAAGGCCGTGGGGGAGCCACCTCTCTGTGCATGCAGAAGGCACCAGGTTTGACCCCCGGTATATCCACATTTGGGGCTATTTGGGCATTAGCTAAATGCAGTGCTGAGAACATCTTTGGTCCCCGGGAACAAGGCTACGGATGGCCTCCCTTCAGCAGTGGGGGGGGGGGGCACTCCTTTGCACACACCTGCTGCACAAGTATATCCTCTCTCTCTCATGCACAGAATTCACACATGCCACCACAGGGGCTCACATACACCGAGTGATGCGCACTGAGCCGGCTGCACTCGGGCCTCACCTTGTGCCTCAGGAGTGTCTTGGGCTGGTGGCTCCCTCTCCTTAGTCCCAGCCTTTCCCATGAGGAGAGGTGGCTGAAGGGAAGGGCTGCCTCAAGTGGGACCGTGGGCTCGGAGCAGTCTCTCTGCAACCAACCAGCCTTGTTAGAGTTCCGCGTCCCTGTGCCTGGAGGCAACACCCCTCCCCAGTCGCACAGCGAACTGGGAGGGAACTGGCCCTTACTGGAGGATTTTACAGGCTGGGTGGGGAACCAGGAGGGCCATATGCTTGGGCCTGAGACTCTCTGCCTGTGAACTTCCAGGCCTCTGACTGGATAGGTGCCGCGAGGCCATTCAGACAACGGCCGGCTTCGGTGGAGGGACAGCCGGCTTCACTCCATGCAGCTCGCTGCTCTGCTTGCCTGCCCGACCGAAGGCCGGTGAAGTGCGGAAAATGTCTGTGACAGTGCTGCTGACTTGCTGAGAAGCCCTGGCCCCCAAAATGCCGCGTGTCCCTTCGGGGCAGGAGGAGGGCAGGTGATGGCCAGTTGGAAATGCCGCGTGGGCTTCCCTCAGTGGGCCTTTGACAAATATCACTGCTGAAGGCTCGGGAGACCTTCAGATAGTCTAGTGACCGGATGGCCGAAAGGCAGTCCGCTTCTGCACCAGGCAGTGCCTGCACCTGACAGGCACACAACACGTGGCCTCTCTCTGGCTTTAAATATGCAGCCACGGAGTGTCGACTCCCGACTGCAGGCATCTGGACGGACTCCAGCTGGGAAGAGGAGAAGCCCAAGGAGAAGCTTGCGGCCTGCGCTGGAGCAGCGCTGAAAGCAAACTTTGGGGGGGGGGGGTCGCTTTTCATCAGGCCGGTCTGTTCTGGTTGGGCAGTTGGTGTGCGACAGGTCTTGCGAGGGCAGGGATAGAGCATGGAGGACCAACATCTCAAGGTCATAAAAAGCAAATCAGCAAGATTCAGTAAAAATTAGCAGAGAGAGCAAAACCGTTGGGACTAGATTAGTTCAGGACCCAGCCACGCCATTTTCTGTTCCAAGAATTCATCATCGAGCGTCTAGTACAAGATGCCAAGTACAATGGCCTACACTGTGTACGCTCAGTTTGAACTCACTAATTAATAGATATTAATTCACATTATTATTATGCACTTATCATGAGAGTTATGTGACAATTTGAAATACTGGTACCTTCTGTTTGTTTTTTACTGTGTTCTGTGGAACAAAATCTAAACAACAACAGTGAGAAGGGGTGGTGGGAAGAAAAAAAACCAAAATAAAGTGTTACGGTTTTCTTACATAAGATTTAAGGGTAACACTAAAGGCATGTATGATAAATATCCCTGCATATTTTGTATGAAGAAAGCTATTATTGAAAGTAAATATATATAAACTTCAACAAAGGCCACTCAAATATTGATGTATTTGTCCATTCATAGACTATGCCAAAGACACTTTTCAAAAAACCAAAAGTTTCCTTAACTCCTACACCCCATTATGGTACCACTGGTGCTCCTTCATCCTTCCAGTGTGGTAGCGGCAGCATTTTAGTTGTCAAAAGGGCATGGGAAATCCATTTGCATTGACCTTGCGCTAAATTCCAAGGGACAGGGAGATAATTAAGAAGAACATGTGCACCATTAAATATTAAAGAACGTTCCATCACCGAATTTATCCAAATTATTACCTTCTCCCAAAAGAAAGTAGCCACTGGGCATTGGCAGAACATACGCACCAGAGAAGCATGAGCTGCATCCACCTCCAACAACTGGCCATTTAATCAAGCCCTTATCAAAAAGACCTTGTGGTGTCTACTCTACACAAAGCATCCAAGTTTGCTAGATTAGATGTAACATAAGATCCATTACACCTTCTGAAATAGATGGCAATAAAGTGCTGCTCTGGTTAGGCAAATGGGGTGCCCCAATTCATTATACCAATCTAGCTGAAGGCCCCGTATATCATATTTATTCACTGATAATAGATATTTATAGGCATAGGCTGTAGGCTGATGTCGCCATTCAGCATCAATCAATACTTCCAATGACACTGGTGGCTCAGAAGCTGTGAAAACAACAGAGCCAACCTGGATTCTAAAAAATGTTTCAAATGCCATTCAACCACTGCATCAATTTATAATTAGCACACAAAACAGAAAATGACAGGATGTTATTTTCAGGACCTATGAGCTGATCGATGCTCCACCGAATAAGTGTTTTCTTGCTGATCTTTAAATCCAGATTTCCCCAAAGTGTTAATTTTGCATGAAAAATGTGTCCAGCTGCAACAGCTACGGAAAAAAGTGCTGCACCTCTCCAGCTACTGTAATGCCAGGATGCATCCTCTCCGTTCTGGTATAGCGAGAATCCAATGCAAACCAGTTCCAAAAGGATCAATGCATGATGATTACAGAACTGACCAGGCAGAAAAGTCTAGTCTTTGTGGAAAAGACCACAATTTAGTACTGGTTGCCAGATAAGCCTGTGACGATTATTTATTTATTTTATTTAGGGAATTTCTATGCTGCCCCATTCGCCGAAGCCTTGGGGCGGCTCACAAACAAAAATAAATAACATCCTATGAAACAATATAAATTAAGCCGCCCTGGCCAAAGAATAAAATAAAAAATATTAACAATTAAAATAACGTTTGAATAAAAAGGTCTTCGCCTGGCGCCAAAAAACAAATAACGACGGCGCCAGGTGGACCTCTCTGGGGAGCGCATTCCATAGATTGGGCGCCACCCCAGAGAAGGCCCTGCTCCGAGTACCTACCCTCCTAATTTTCTTCACGGATAAGCAAAGATCGTCTAATAATTGAAAGCTGCATCCTTTGCAAGGATATTTACAGTGGGGCAGAATCCATAAAAATGATGAATCAAAATTATTAAGCTTTTGAAAATATTTGTTAGGTATAACTCCAGGAACACCATGCAAAATATAATCAATTTGAGGTGTAATATTCATTTTAAGTGTGTTCACCCTATCCTGTGAACTTAGCTTTAAGGATGTCCATCGGTCAATGAGATCTCATCAACCGACCGAACACAAAAGATCTGCTTGAAACATTGGTTAAAATAAGAGCAATTGTCAGAAGGATCAATAGCCATAAAGCATCAACTAGTTCAGCGTTGCTGCTATCAGTTCTGCCAGTGAAAGTGGGAAAAAGAGCAGAAACTACTGCTGTGCTATTGGGGAGTGTTTGAATTATTCCCGGTATTTTCTTGCACTGCTGTGGGTCCCAACACAGACAAGAACATGAACCAACGGTTTTTAAAATCCCTGGAACAAACCCCTTCATTCCACATTAGACTCGGTTCAAAAGTGGTAACCACTGTCCAGCACGGAGGGGTTTCCAAAACTCTCCTAATATTGTTCTGCTTGCCCAGCAGCACATTCCTTAGAGCAAAAGAAAAAGGCATGGAAGGAAACCACCCTGTCAATCTAGTGATCATAATCCTATTACGATCACACCTTTCTTCAAGGCCCTCTGAACAGTATTTCCTTTTTTCACCTTTACAACAAACCAGGTTAGGCTGAGAATTAGTCACTGGCCCAAGATCAACTGGGAGCTTTGCAGCTGAGCAAAGATTTGAAACTGGACTTGGCCGACTAACTGTAGGTCCCACACCGTTCTGGTCTTGCAGCTTCTCCAGCCTGCTGCTTTCCAGAGGCGTTGGACTGCAACTCCCATTATCCAAGGCCATTCAACAGCTGGGTGAAGCCTGTTGTAGAGAATATGTGCTAGGAAGCTTTTGAGTGACCGCTGGAGAGGCGGAAACTCCACTGAACTCTGGTCAGCCTGGTGTGAAATTATGAGTTAGATGGGCTAAAAGTGGGAAATAAATCACTCCAGGAACAACTCTACAACTCTGACATCGATTCAAGCTGGAGAACAAGGCAATCTCAGAACCTCTGTTCCAACCTAGGCTTGAGATTCATTCCATATCTCTGAGGGTAATCCCTTGCGGGAAAATTTGGTGAGATCTATTAACACCTTCTCGTTGAACTTTGATTTGCCTGGTGCATCTCCACCTTACTCACAGCTTCCGTTCCAGACTTCTTACCTTCAAGGCACACGAAGGCCACTTACCGTAAGATGTACCCATGCAGAACCCCATTGTGTTCGCTTTCAGGAGGGGGTTGCCACTGGACCATGATGGACTGATTGGTCCTCCCACTCGCCACAATATTTTTAGGTGGGGCACTTGGTGGTTCCTCGGGAAGCATCAACCTAGGTGCAAGCAAACACGAATCAAGCTGGTAAACCAACTTCTGCATATCTTGTCTCCACTTGAAGGCAATCTAGTTTTGTTTACAGAGGTCTAACTAGAAAGTAACATAGTTCAGTTGCTGTAGACATGCTTGAAATAGTTGTAACAAATCAACATAATAGAAAATCAGTTAAGCAAGCAACAAGCAAGACAGCTGCTGTGCCGAGCTTATTCTATCTGAATGATCCAGCTTGCCACGATCCGTTACAAAGACTGCAAGCCTGAGTGAGTTCACATGCTGTCGCCCAGAATCTGTAATTCTTCTCAAATGGTTTCCTTCCGTTCGCTCCCCCAACCTTAGATACCCACATTAAAAAACTGGTTCAAAGTCCCCAGGAAGTCTCTGGCTCGGATAGAAGCACTGATACATTTTTAATCAAAAGTGGTAGTCATTTTTAATGTCCTGTGCAGCTCGATTCCAAAAGGAGGCCAGATCAATGCCCCCGGGACACACTGCAGCTGTTACACAGTTAACCCCACAAACAATTATTTTAGGCCTCTGCAGCTGAGCCTGGGCCCGGCCAAAGACAGGTAACCACCCTAAACTTTATGTTGAGGCGCAAAGACCTCAGGGGCTGGGCCCAACTTCTTGAGAGTCCACCACCATTCAGAGATGCACAGCAGATAATTCATGAGACCTTGAAATCGCCCAAAATGTTTAGAAAATCAAAGGAGTTATTGGGGTGGAACTCCCTGTGGCAAGAGAATGAACCTGGGATCCGTCCGGAGTCTCCCATTCTCTGTGCTGGCAGTACACCTATTACCCCTTTCAACTTCCTGGGAAATTCATCACACCATCAAATGATGAAAACATGTGCAAGGGACAACAGCTTGAACTCTTCTAATAAAAGAGCGTGAGGTTTCTGTCCACAGCTGCCAGTGGCTTGAAGCAGGTGCCTTACTGGGAATGGCCAGATGTGAAGGCCATGTCCATGCAGGGGTCCTTATTGTCAGACTACCTAGCCGGATAAATAGTTTTGTCCCCCAAGAAGTGCAACCGATCCGATATTCACGGAGGGAGTTCATTTAACTGTACCTGCTGGTTTCTATGCTGTACTGGCCCCTGCCCACTTGGTTAACTGCACACACTCTAAACTGGTAGGTACGGGCTGGGGTTAGTCCACTCACAGTGATGGTGGTCATCTTTGGATCAATGTCAGAGAGATGCACTTTCCAGGGGGAATCTGATGGAAAGGAACAGAATTCCAGTCATCCCAATTACATCCGCATGTGACTAGTTTAACCCCCTCTCATTGCAAATCATGAGGTAAGGAGGAGCCAGAAGACCCAGCAAAGGAGAGCGCAATTCCCTGCGTAGCTTCTTCACACAGCCGCTGCCACCATCACCGTCTTTTGCTGCCTGGTTTAGTCTTGTATTTCAGCCTTACCCTTTCTGTGTGCCACCAAGACCCACAGAGGGAAACATAAAAGGCCTCAAAGAAAACTCCTTACTCATGATTTCCAAGTTAGGACAATCAACAGATCAAAGGTTTCTTACAACTCAATCCATAAACCCATTAAACCATGACACCTGGCAAACGTATTTAGCCTCATTGGCTCCGGTTTAATTACGAGGAAGAGAGAGCAGTTACACCCCAATACTTAACACATTTACTGAGAAAAAGCAAACTCAGTTCAAATCAATGGCCCTTGCTGGAAAGTAACTGCTCTTAGGACTGGGCTGCTGGTCAATTAATAGTCTTGTTTTCATGTTATTAATCAACTGCTTAGCTGATTAACATAAATATGGAACTAGTTCAATATTGGGGATTTTTTGAGAATCGTTAATGAAAGCAACAGATTGCTTGACTTCAAAAATGCTTGCAATTTATTTTTTTGGAGAAACTGTCATTTCTTCTTCAGTTGTAGAGCACTGTTTACCACAATACCGTCATTAGCAATGGATACCTTTTCAAAGAAGAACAGATTAAAGTCCAATTAAAACACACTTTTTGAAGCTACCTTGTAATTATTTTATAAACCCCTATCACAACTTCCCTTAGTTGTCCTTTGCTAAGTTGAAGAACCTTAATCTTCTTAAGGTTGTTTTCTGGCATTACCTGTTAATGATATGAGTGCCTTTCTCAAGTCATACCCATTCACAGAAGTATTTGAAAATGCATTCAAGGAACCAGGATTCATATATTTATCATTGTGTTAACCTCCATACACAGCAACATTCTGAAAGCAGTTCAGAAGTTCACAGACCTTTTCTGTTACAAGCTTGAAATGGTTTTATTCCATCTAAATTCACTGTTTGGCCAATACAGTCCTAGAAATTGCATGGTGCAAATGAAGATTTTCTTTGAAGTTCCTTTCTCAAAGAGTGATGCCTCCCAGCGACCAAAGCTGGATCATGCATCCTTCTCTTCTGCAATACCCACGCCTAGCCTTGTTGCTTAACACAGTAATTTCATTCCCAGGATACCCACGTTATGCCGCCTCTTCCTCTTTTGCTTCCTATCTCAACATCCACTTCTTCCTTGAAGTCTCTGGCATCGCACCTTAGCCCACAGTGGCAGCTGGAACTGCATTCGCTTGATTCATTCCTTGACTTGTCCTCTTGGGAATATAGTTAAAGGCTTGTATAAAAATACTGTCTGTCTATACACACACAGCATTGCTTTACAGAGGGGGATTAAAACACCCTCCCTAGTCTATACTTTTTCCTGCCCCCTTTTAAACCAGTCTTTTAACATTCCTGCCAAGGATAAAAGTTGTTTTGAACTGGCAGCAGTTCCTTTAACTTCCGCAGGAGAAAGTTCCAGGATAAGTTTCTCCCTGGGAAAGGAAGACACTTCCCCATCAGACCACGTGCTCCAGCAGACTGCACCTCCACTGAAAGGGGATGCTGCACATGTCACTGCATAATAAATAAAAACTATATTCATTAACATTTTAATAAAGGAGGAAATGAGCGTGATAAAGACAGATGGGCTGTGTATTGCTCAACCCATCTGTTTGGCAGTCCATTTGCAGTACCACACCCATGAGTAACTCTGGCTGAAGACGCCAATGAAATTCACAGCTACCCTGAAATATCTTCTTCCCACAGCTTCCATGCAGGTATCGTTTCTCAGCCAAATCGGCTCATCGCCGCTGCGAGTCTGGTGGGGAATCTGCATGCCTGGAAGAGTGCCTGTGTGTTTTACTTGTGCTGAGAAAATTGTTTGCCTGCAGATTTCGGAGGGGGAATCCCCTGAAGTAAGGTAAAGTGAGTGAAAGTGCCGAAAGCCACCCCATCGCTAGCTTGTCTGTTCCACACGCTGAGTTTCCTGACTCCCCGCATTGGATTCGCAACAGGAAAACCTGAAATATTTTGGGAACAGAATGTGTGCTCTCTCCTTTCCATCCTAGGATGATGCTATCAATAAGTTGAGGAGGATGTGGAAAATATTCCGTGGGTGTTGAAGGAGCCTTCCACTTTTATGGATTGCTGTAAAAGGAAAAAAGCCGGGGGAGGGGGGAGTGTAGTGATTAAGAGTGTGAAACTGGGCCCCGGGGGACCTGGGTTCGAGTCCCCGCTCGGCCATGGAGCCGACCGGGTGACTTTGGGCCAGTCACAGGCTCTCAGTCCAGCTGGTCTTACAGGGCTGCTGTGGGGATAAGACTGAGAGGGGGAAGAGGTGAAGGATCAGGCTACTTTGAGTTCCCTGGAAGGGAGAAGCGGGATGCAAATCTAATAAATAAATAAAGTGCTTGCCTATTTGGGAAGCCTTGAGTCAGGGTGCAATCTTATGCATGTTTGGACAGAAGAAAGTCCTACATGGCTGGCTGGTGAAAGCTTGAGGACTTCTTTTGCGCCTAAATATGCCTTGTCCTAGAGCAGGTTTCCTTTATCCCTCTTTCTGACTGGAGCCCAGCCATGGTTTCAGATCAACACTCAGAGCTGCCGGTGTCCGGGGAAAACGGATTAGCCAGGGAGGCTGTGACATCATCCTGCCACTGCACAGCTCTTGACTGGCTGCAGGCCACGCAGTGCAAGAGAAGCAGGCTCCCAGGAAGTCTCTGGGGGGCTGGAATGACATTGCAGCATCAGCCGCTGCTCTAGGGGACAACAGCCGGGAACTGGTGCGAAAAAAGGCAACGAGTCTCTTGTTGGGAGCGCTCTCATTAGGTATTTCAGGCCCCTGGAAAGCGACAGTCTTCACGAAAAGGGTCAGAGTGTGGCAATCTTTCCTAAACTGATCTTTAAAATGTAACGCAGCAGTTGGGGGCGGGGGTGGACGGGGAGCAGGGGAGAGAGTGCTCCTTTGAACTTCTGTTCCCAGACGAAAAAGCAACTTCAAAGACCTTGCCAAAAGAGGATCGCATCCAGGTATCGAACCCAGGCTTGTATTGCTGTCACTTTGCGGTCACTGTGAGGAACTACTAATTATGTGTGATAGTGAAAAGAAGCTGGCCAAAATCTCTGCCAATCTGGGGAAATTTCTCATCGACATATACTCACTGATTCTGTGCATCACGGACTCACTAAGAAGCAAGTAGTGTCCCCTGGACCTCACTGCTATTGGAATGACCAAAGCTGTGTTTCTATGCTCAAAATATATTTTATTATAACAGGTTTTGTGACGAGAAAGGTTGATTGCTGGGGGACTAAAACGAGGAATATTAGAACCGAGGATCACTTGAAGAGGAGTTAAGTGAAGCCTGAAAACTTGCAGGAAGCCATCTACTCAAAGCTGGCCTGACAAAAGATTCCACCTTATCTGTGATAGCTAAGATTCAGTGATGTGTGCATGCTAAATCCATCTGGATTTATTGGACTGAGGGTTTTTCCCCTAGGAAATCACACTACTAAGCCAAATAACAGCTTTCTAAACACCCCTGGAAATGCACTGTAAGATAACCTAATAAACACAAATGTTGCTTCATGCCTGCAGGTCAGAACATTTGCCTTCTTGTTTTAACCCCAGGAATTAACCGCCTGCTTCAGCCAAAGCACCTCAGATTAGATCTGCAGATACTTAGAAAGAAACAAACCTACCTGTGTCAAAGATGATGTACGTTTATATAATGATGAAATATAGATACAGAATATAAACGAGTGAAAGGAAGCTTACACACCCCTTTTCGGGAGCTCTATTTAGAATCCTGAGTGGCAAGAGAAAACCAGGTTGCCAAACAGCAGGGTGGTTAGACTCCATTAAAAACGATGTGGGCCAGAGCATAGTTCAGCTGAAAGAGGTGGCACGAGATTGAAAAGTGTGGCGAGATTTGGCCCATAGGAACGCTTATAGTCGAACACAAGTGAACAGCTGAAGAACAACATTTGTTTCCCGAATAAGCTGGGAGATGCTGCACGGGTCTCTGAGATTGCCTGGGTGAGCAACATATCAATTCCACTTCCCAGGCTCAAAACAAGACCATGTCTCCTGCCATGGCTTTTACGAAGATCCCCCTTGCCTCTCCTGAAGAGTCTGCCAATATACACAAACTCTCGGCCCCCTTCTGGAGAGAGAGAGGAGGTGAAAGGGCATCAATAAGGCAAACAGTCTCATTTTCACAGCAAAAGCAGCTCTTCTCTATAGAATGACTGGGGAAGGCAGCTCCACAGCAATTGACTCTGGTGTCCTTCCCAACAAGCTGAAGGCCACAAGACCTTGGCATAGTGTCAGGAAACTATGCTGGCATTTGGACACCGAGGAGGAGCACCATGTGGCCTGCTGAGCCCCAGCGACTGCTTCACCATCCTTTTGGTAGAACCTGTCCAATATGCTTGTTAACATCTGAGCCAGCTCAGCCTGGTGGCGCTGCCAAGCCGCATGCATAATTTTGAATTGTCCCCAAAAACCAGTCGGTGGTGAGACGTTCTTTTCTCCATCCCTCCTTGGCTTTGCAACATCCCATTGAGTACCCCTTGGCTTCTTCAGGGCACACACTGGATTTTCTCCTGTTCTTGTTGCCCTGGTGCCAAATATCAGCGTTCGTTCATATCACTGTTGTACGTGACTATTACAGTTGATGACTTGGAGTTAAACGAGCTAGCAGACTCCAGTGAAGAGTCTAATGTGAGGGGAAATGGAAGTCCTATCCGTGGGGCTTTCCTGGAGCAGTCAAGTTCTGCTGGCATGGCATGATGCTGTTTGAAGTCATCCAATGATACACTTCTGTGTGGGAGCCAAATTTGGGGATAGTGGGAGTGAGAAGCAAGCACATGTTAGCAGGAAGACAACTTCTCAGC